ATTCTGAACATCTCTTATACTAGTAATTTCAACATTAACAGTTACTTCAACACAATATAACAGTAATAGGCATCAAGTAAAGACATTTAAAGGAAAGCTGCTGAGCACAAAATAACTGAAGAAAACATTATTCTATTTTATTTTGTGAACACCACAGCAAAGACACTGCTCTACAGCAAAAATTAGGAAACGGGCTCTTCCTTTCCTTCCCTAAGCATTTATAATGATGAGCAAATGCTTTCAAAGAAACATCACCATGACACCTGCAATTATCCTGCAAAAAGAAAAAAAGCCCAAGCACGTCTCAATTTCCAGAATTACTGCTATATTTTGGAAGTCCTTTTTATAATTAATTTCTAAAAAGCAAATCTTATTTTCACATTAAAATGTACTCTCTTTGAAACATACACACACACACACACACACACACACACACACACACACACACACACAGAGGCTTTGAGGAATAATTAAAAGAGCTCTATCACAACATTTTTAAAACCTGCAATTAGTTATCCATAGCATAATGACATTTCAGTCAATGACAGACCACATATGACAGTGATCCCATAAGATTATAATGCTCTATTATTATTGTACTTTTTCTGTGTTTAGATACACAAATATTTATCATTGTGTTACAACTGGCAGCAGTACTCAGTACAGTAACATGCTGTACTTTGAAGTCTAGAAGCAAAAGGCTGTACCATATAGTGTAGGTATGTACTAAGGTATACCATCTAGGTATGTATAAGTACACACTATGCTGTTCACACGACAAAATCGCCTAATAATGAATTTGCCTAATGACAATTTCTCAGAATACATCCCCATTGTTTAGCCACATATGATTTTATTATTCTTGTGCTGGCAGTGTTCACAGATCTTCCTTATTATTTTCTCACCATTTACTCTCATATTTGCTTCCTTGACTAAGGATCTAACAACTATGCTCAAAGCCTTCAGAGCCTAGCATCCTTCAGTTGACCTTTGTGCTACAGTAACAAACTCTGCCAAGAATGACACCCAAAGATTAAAATATTACATTAAATAAGTTTCTGATATTAAATTTATAAAATCAAAATTAAGGACATCTCATTAATTTTTGTTCACATTACATACTACTCTTAAGTTTCATATTCCTGGAAATATTCAGCCAATATATTTTCTAACAAAAGAAAAATATATGCAAAAGCACATTTTATTTCTAATAATAAAAAGTTCAAGGTTCTTAATTGCAAGGGCCGCAATAGTGGATGTTTTTCTGCTAGTTAATATAATCACAGGACCTAAAATGAATAAAGGAAAAGAGTGATAAATTTGAACACATTCAAGAAAGAATGAATGAAAAACGAAAAATAGGAAAATTACAAATGATGAAAAACCTATTTGCATTACATGACAAATATAAAGAGCTCTCACAAACAACAACTCAAAAACAGGACGAAACATATGACTAGTTAACAAAAAATACAAATAACACATAAAAATATGGCCAACTTCACTCATATTTAAAAAAATAAAAATCAAAGAAATAATCTGTTTCTCAATTACACATATGGCAAAGATTTTAAAAAGTTCAATAATACTATCAGCAAGAAGTAGGAGAAAAGTCATTCCCATGCATGACTATAAGAGTCTAAATTGGTTAATACCACAAAATATGTAAAAAGTAAAATGCATGTACTCTTTGACCTTACAGTTCCAGTCCTTGGAATTTATTTTACAGCTATATTTAAATAGCATGCAAAGATACACACAAAAAATTAAATGCAGCATTGTTTCTTAGAGCAACAAACTGGAAATAACCTAAAAAGTCCATCAATAGGAAACTGGTGAAAAATATTAGGTTATGCCTAAGTTTTACAATGGAGTATTACGGAGCCTTTAAAATAAAAAATGTAGGTACATATGGGCTGAAGTAAAAGGATCTTTAAGATATTCAGAAAAAAGCCAAGATTCTAAATGGCATATGCATTGTACAGTTATTTAACTTACATATTAAATATATATTTAAGTTTTTATACGTTTTATATAAAATTTTATACATTAACTATATATATTACACATTTTCAAATACACTAAAAAATCTGGAAAGATACTATCAACACTATTAACCTGGCAAATAGGATTAGGGTGGAAGTGACATGAAAGGGAGATTTACTCTTTCATTTTATACACATCTAAGTTTTATATTCTTGTTTTATACTCTTCCATCTATATTGTTTAAATTTTATACATGTACATTTATTCAGATTGTAAATGGCATGTTCTAAAAAATGATACTGGTGTAAAGAGCAAGAAAGGTAAAGATAAAAATACAAGACATATAAAGAAGTAAAAACTAATTCAACTAATTTTTCCAATGATGACCATTTATATAAGACAAAGATATTATTTGTAACAACTTACAGTCTGGTAGACTGACCCATGACATGTTGCCATATTCATTTTACAAGACACAAAGTTATTTTCCAGTCCTCCAGTCCTTGCTGAAAATTCTTCCCTTCTTGCAGCTTATCTATCTCTTTTTCTCTCTCCTATGCCTCTAACTGATCAACTTTTCTTGTGTTCTAACAAAACTACTCTCACAAAGGGTATCAATAACTTTTCCATAATCAATGTATAAAAGGAAAAGATTTTTCTTTTCCTTTTATAAAAAGATTCAAGGTCCTCCCTTTAACCTTATTTGAAAGCATGCTAAACAGACATCAGAATACAGAGTCTAAGCTCTGCCAATAACTAATTACATAATAATATCAATGATAGCAGTAACAGCTAAGATTTATGGAGCCTTTACTAGGTGCCAGATACTATGCTAAGTTTTTCATACATTAACTCACACAACAACCCCATGAAGTAGATCCTGTTGGTATCCTGGTTTAAGATAAGAAACCCGAAGCACAGCGAAGTGTCAACTCTTGTGAAAGGTCATAAACCCAGGAAATGCATAAGTGTTACACACAGGGTTGCTAAATAAAATACAGGACACTTGGCTAAATTTGAACTTCAGGTAAACAATAAAAATTTTTTGGCATACATATGTCCAAATATTACAAGAAACCCATTTTTTATCAAAAAAAGAACCTGGAAATCCTAGTTATATAACATTGTATAAGTCACAACCTGAGTTCCCTCAGTTTCTGCATCTGTAAAATGCAGAGGTCAGACTACTTCTTTTAGTTCTAAATCATTTCTATGTTGTTTTTTTTTCTAGTTCTAAAATTCATTAGTCCTAGAACTTTCTGGGATTCTAGCACTTTATAAAAAATTCAACATATTCCCAGGATAATGTTCAGACAAATTAATAATTTCTAACAATCTTTCACTGATCCTTTCTAGGCATTCTTCAAGGTCCTGTCCTGGTCTCCTACTTTACAACCACTCTACATTCTCAGGAATCTTTTTTCTTTTTTTGGATGATGCCTAGATTTTTCTTTCCCTCTCCAGCCAGTCACAGAATCACAGAAAGCCTCAAACCCTCTCTACCACCAAATTAACACAGATAACAAAGAATACTATCTTCAAACCAAAAATTACATATATACATACATACATACACACACATATACCTTTTAGTGAGCTCTCTCTTCAAACTAAAAAATTATATATATACACTAACAGACATACATACATACACAGCTTTTAGTAAGTGTCTGCATTGTAGTGTATCTATCAGAAGATTACAACTTAAATAAGACATGCAAATATGCAACAATCAGAAAACCAGTTGGAATACCAATTGTGCAGTAGACATTTTGCTTAGCTACAGTCACAGAAGACCTACGGATCATCCAAACGCTAACCCAATCCTAATGATATCAGGAAATAAGAGCCTCATTTCCCTAGTGGCTGGGAACTGAAAATAGTCTACCACCCAGGGTACCTGGAGTGAAGACAGGATAATTATATATGCACACAGGCTTAGGCACTAATCCCTGCCATGTTTATTCAGTCAATACAATTGGATTTCTCCTTCTGTTTCCTGGGAGCAAAGCCCTGACCTGAACCAGAGCCCATTTGACTGGGGCTTAGTCACTCTCTGATTTTGCCAGCTCCCTCCCACTGAAAGTTACACACTGAGTTTTATAATCCACTGCTTCAGATGGAGTCATCAACAAAAGTGATTTATCAGACTCACAACCCCAAACCACAGTGCTTTTATCTACTACAACCATAGGTTTCTATTACTTCCTAAAAACTTTTCCTTTAGTGTCCCACTCATTTGGTGCCATTTTCAAACAGATTTAAATGATCATTCAAGTGTAAGTTATTACCCTTTGGACACTTTTTTTTTTCTGGCTATCTTCAACAGGGCCAGCCTTATAGCTAAAGCAAATTTTCTTAGGTTTGGTCTCATTCAAGGGGGGTTTCCTCATCTTCTGACCCAGCCCTATATAAGTGCAACATATATTTTACATTTAAAACTCTAACATTATCTTTAAAATCTGTCAATTGCCCAAAGTGGATTATTTTTTTCTCTGCGCAAAATAACCACCCTAATTCATGCTGCCTTTTGCAAGATTTCTAACATACATTTGTCGCTTTATGTTTGGGCTGTGGTAGTATATTTTCCTTTTGTCTCCTAGACTTCCTGTAGACATACATTATTTATGACTATGATTATACTTAATAAGATAATTTACTTAGAAAATAATGGTACTGGTAACAAAATCTACCAAAATATCTCCTACAGCACATACATTGAAAATGTTAACTCATTCTGTTTTTTAAATTGCAAAGAAGCAACATACTTTGAAAAAATATAGCTACTGAATTCTTTCAGCTCTTCTAAAAAAAAGCAAACCTCTAAAAAAAAATGCACTCTATAACACAATATTACTGCATTGTTAAATCTGCGTATCTTTCCCCTTCTATCAATTTTAAGATATGTGAGACCATAGTCATAGTTAACAGCTGATGTTCTAAAAATACATTTCAGTTCTTTAAACTCTCTGGATCTTAATATTCACTTATCAGACTAAAAAATGATAAAATACCCAGCAAATGTAGACTTTGTGTCCTGCAGATATTTATTTGGAGGGTCATCTCTGAAGCCTTCGTCTTGGGATTTTTCTCTCCTATCTTCTGTAATGTGTTGGTATTCATTGGTACTGGTTTCCAGCGGCTTTTGATTTGAATGTTTCTTGTCTCCTTTCCCATCAGAGTGACTCCATGTTAATCTTTCTTCACTGTTCTCGATGGGTTTTCTGAAACCACTATGCAAAGAACCCTGAGCTACCAATAGTGAAGATGAACTAGATGGTTCAAATTTTCTACCCTTTCTGTGAAATGACAGTTCTTCATCATCAGAGGGTCTCAAGAATTTAGCTCTCAAATTTCCAGAAGAAAACTCTTGATTTTGCCTTGGGTTAGATTCTCTTCTAGATGTTTCTAAAGACCCAGGTCTCTTATCTTTTTCATCACCAATAAATTTAACATTATTGCTATTTTTTGCAGAGTCTGCTGTAGCATATCTATCACATGAACTGTTATCATATTTTACTAAGTCTGATTTTCTACTTTCTTGACTATTTTTTGCTTTATCTGAATATGTGGGTTTCCTCCACCGTTCTCGTCCATAATCTTCTTTCATGGATGCAGCTTTTTCAGCGTCTTCTAATTTTGACTGAAATACTTCCATTGACTACAAAGGAGAAAAATTAAACAAGATATCTAAAATTAGGAATGGCTCAGTGACTTGCACCCCACATGTCACTGTATGGCTCACTGCCAAGTGGCATACCGAAAAGCCCACTAAGGGGGTGAAAGAAGACCCATATAATCATCCTACACTGACAAACTTTTTAAAAACATGCATAAACAATTAAAAATTATCAAATAACAAAAAGATACCCCAAAAACAGACAAAATGCTCTGCACTAATACAAAGTATAACACTGAAAACAGTAGAGACAAACTTTTCAAAAAATAATTAATTCTTACTGGTTGTGAGATTCAAAAGGTTAAAATGCTAAAACAGACTCTCACGGAAAATATAATAATTCAAGAACAAGAAAAATTTGCAAATATAAAATTATGTGCCACAAAAAACTGCCCAGATACACAAAAGGAAGAACAGAGAGTGCTGAAAACTAAATTAACCTGGGAATTCTCTACATTTTAGGAAAAGGTAGTAAATAAATGTTAAGTTATATGAAAGAAAAACACATTGAACAATTGATTCTAGAAAATCTAATCTGCATTTATTAGTGCTTCCAGAAAGATGGAGCAAAGATGATGAGAGAAGAGCATTAATTTTAAAAATATGTAAGAAAATCTCTCCCAGCCAATTTCTCAGAAGGGCTCATCCAATAGCCTTGGGTGGGGAAAAGAAACAAAAACACAGGAAAAAACCCTATTTCCTGAATCTCAAAACTCAAGGAAAAAGAAAATCCTTTACAATGACTAGATTGGAGAAGGAGTGAATAAGTGTGAGCCTGCATTTGGATAGGGGTAGATAAATAACAAATTACGTGCAAAGGAAAGACAGACTTATCAGCTGTTCATCTATAATAATAAATAAATAATAGAATCAAGATAAAATTTTGAAAAAATTAAGCTATAATTCTATATAAAGAGTTCACTTTACAATCAAATTATCCTTCCTTGGTATGGGAAAAAGAAAATCATTTTCAAAAATGCAGAGAATAAGAGGGCATAGCACTAGCAATCCTGAGGGAAAAAAATTACTCAACATGATTAAGTCACTCCATAAATGAATTAGGGCAAAGATCTCTGGAAAGAAAAATTAAAATTAAAATTAAAAAAACAAATGCTAAAAATCAAATGGCAAATGCAATGGTCAAGTCTAAATAAATGTCCTTGTAGTTTCAAAGTTTAAAACGATTTTCAAGGAAAAGATGCATCACACACAGAAACAGAAAGCAGAAAGGTGGTTACTGCAAGGAGAGGGGATGGGAAGACCGAGGTCAAAGAGTACAAAGTTTCCATTATATAGGATAACTAAGCCTGGAGATATGATGTTCAGTAAGAGGACTACAGTTAATAATACCACATTATATACTGAAAATTTGCTAAGAGAGTAGGTTTTAGGTACTTTTATCGGACAAAAAAAGGAGAATAACTATGTGAGATAAATGATACATTAATTTGCTTAACTGTAGTAATTATTTCCTTGTGCATATCAAAATATCCTGGAATACATACCTTAAACATATACAACATAAAAAATTTAAAAATAAAATAAAAATTAAAAAAAAAAGCACCTTTTACTCAACTCTGAATACAAAGATACTTAAACGTGATAATCTTAAACCCAAGAAGTCATTACTTAAAGACAAGAATACCAGCTTCCAATCCTCTCATCAAAGTTCTAAAATTATAACTATTTCAAAAAGAAAAGAAAGTTTAAATATTTTAACAGAGAGGAGAAAAACAAAATAATTATTTGCAAATAACTACCTTCCCACATAACCCAAAATTTTCTAAATTAGAATAATGTTTAAAAAATTGGCCAACCAATAGCAAGTCAAAAAACATTTTTAGATTTCAATTTATAATTGAAAAAAATAAAAATAACCTCAATGGCATATGCATAATAACTGCAGAGAAAATTAGTGAAGTGTATAAATAAATACTTGGTGTTTTGGGATGGGATGACTCTATATTATAAAGATACTAGTTGTTCTTAATTTATCTATACATTTAGTTAAATCAAAATTCCAAAAAGTTATAAATTTATAACAAATTTTGGAAAAATGTTTATTTCTGGTGAGCTTAAATTTACTAAGAAAAATAAACACATAAGAAAGCAAAGCTAAAGTTTTAGTGACTAACAAGAGAGACCTATTAGTCACATAGTGACTACCATGTAGTAGGTGTTTATTAATTATTTGCTATCTGCATAATTTACCGAAAACCACAATAATTATAACAGTATGATACTAATTCCAGGAAAAGATAGAAAGATCAATGAAACCAATCTGAAGATAGAAAGATTAATGAAATAGATCTGAGAGAAAAGGAACAGACCCATGTATATAAGAAAATTTAATGCATAATAAACGTGTCATTTCAAATTAGTGGTACACAAAATAATTCATTCAATATATTATAAACAACTATATAAGACTTATGGAAAGTTTGATGCCTATTTCATACCATACACAAATATATATTCCAGAAAGATTAAAGATAAAACATAAAAAATAAAACTGAACAAGTACTCAAAGTAAATATAGCTGTACATTTTTATGACTGTGGTGGTGAAGGCCTGTAAATGAGCATTAACTTATGAAAAAATAATATGAGGGATTTTGATAAGTAAAAATATTTAAAACTTATCCATAGTAAATTACAAGCAAAGTAAAAAACAAACATGAAGCTGAGAGAAAAAATCTGAACAGATTTATTAAAAAGTCTTAAATCATTATTCCAAAGGAAAAATGGGCAAATAATATCAATAGTCAATTCAATAAAGGATACAAATGGCCAAAATAAATATAAAAAAAAAATTCCAATTCACCAGTAAACAAATGTTTAAAAACAAAAGCAAAACTTAAAATTTTTGCCAATCACAATAACATAAACTATAAGGAATGATCTTACTGTTGAAATTATGTGATAAAAGATATTCTTAAGGATAATTTGTTCATTCTTTAAGTAGGGAAATTTAGCAATAGGTACACTGCTTTAAATGTCTATATCCTTTAAACAGGCAGTTCATTTTTAGTAATTCACCAATAAGAAAAATATGCAAAATGCATTGGACACCGACAGTCAGCACAGTGCTATTTAACAAGGGAAAAGGAAAGCATATAAATGTTCATCCACTGACCAACAGATAAAGAAAATCCTATAAATGTATAATAAAATATTAAGAAGTCATTAAAATGTACATATTTACTGGCATCAAACTATGTGTAAATTAAGTTTAAAAAGCCAGGGCATATTCCATAAGCCTACTTTAAAATACAGGGGGAGAATATCTGGAAAAGTATATTCCAAAAATCTTACTACTTTCTAAACTTGCTTTCCTCTGGCAATTGAAAAAAAAAAAGAACATCAATAATTATTGCAATAGAAAGACTGTCCAGAAAAATGGGGAAACTGGTTCTAAAATATATACTGTTGCATGCTTTCATTGCTTTAAGAGTATATATACACTCTTCTAAAAAATTCTGTAAAACACCCAAACTCTAGAATATACCTCACTCTGGAATATACAAAAATTCCAACAGTGGTTACCTCCAGAAGTGTACCATGCAAACTTTCCGGCATTGTTTAAATTTTCTCACAATGAGAGAATGTTACTTTTATATTAAACACACCCACACTTAAGTTTCATATACTTAAGCTTTACATTCATTATGCCAATAAAAAATAGATACATGTTTACATAATAATGAAAAGCAGAAAATTACTTCAGTAGTATAAAGACATTAAATTTAATATTAATTCAATTCTTCATGGCACAAAACAAAGTTAAATGCAGTTAATTTTTCACATAATTCTGAAAATAAGACCCATATCCTTAATACAGATACTCACCCCATATCTTTCGGCTACAATGTCCTCAAAGTTTCTATTTTGTTTCTCAGCTTGTTCCTTCATTCTTAAATAAGACTTCCTTAGCCAGCTTAATCCACCATCTTCTACCACTGAAACTAAATTCCAACATTAAATATTCATTATACTTTTAATGTGGTTATCATACAATTAATATTTATTGTTTCTATAATGACTTCTAAAATACAAATATTTTTCTTTAAATATATAAGTGCATTTGGAATTCAACACACGTATTATATGTGAGTGCCCATATATGTAAGCCACAGAGTTTTGCCACTAGGAAGAAGGAAAAGATAAATAAATCTATCTTTAAGAAAATTCCAATCTAAGAGAATAAGAATAAAAGGACATAAATAATTAAAATAAAAATAATGTAACCGCTAATATAAAAAGATACACAGGGTTCAAGAAAGTGAGAAAAGTAGAGTTATTTCCAAGTGAGAAGTCAGGGAAAATTCCACAAACCAGGCTCAAGAAAATGAGTTGCGTTTCTATTTTAAAAAGGTAAGGGAGGACATTCCAAGAAATAATTAAGGAATAAAAGGACACACACAGAAAGGAAAAAGCTACCTCAGTTGCAGAACAAAGAACAAATAGGGAAGCTATGCAAGTGGATGTTAAAACAAATTACAGCTAGTGCTCGACTTACGACCATGATTGGGTCCGACAGATCAGTCGTAACACGATTTGGCCATAAGTTGAGTAGGCTATATGCACACGGAGATGGTAGTGCTGCCGGAAGCTGGTCCGCACTGTCGTACGCCCAGCTGGGCAACGTTTGCGCTGCCAGATGCAGAGCAGTCGTGGCTAGCGATTGTGGTCGTAAAGTCGAATGGTAGTAAGTTGCATAGGTCATAAGTCGATCAATACCTGTATCTTACTTTACTCATAATTACCAACAATGAACATTTGAAGACCTTTAATGAATTTTTTAAGCTGGCTTTCTTTTCTTCATTACACATCACACTTTGGGTATGTGTCAAGAAGAAATCAATTACTTAAATAAAAATTCTGCTCCTTATTTTCCTTGCCCCAGAACATGACTGCTTTAAGATCGCCCCAGCTCTATAACCAACAAAAATGCACACACATTGACCCCAATACATATATAAGAATATTCATAGCAGAACACTGCAATAATTTCAGCCTGGAAACAACCCAGGAAATGTATACCATCAGTACACAGGACACCTCCTACATTGTGATATATTCCTAAAATATACTACTTATTTTTATACAGCAAAGAAAATGAAAAACTACAACTATACACAACAACATGGATGAATCTCAAAATGTGGGCAAAAGGAGCTTGAAACAAAGGAGGATATACTGGTATCTGGTACTGGAAAACAGAATAATGGTTACCGTTCTGGTGACAAGGTAGTGACTAGAAGGGCCATAAAGGGACTTCTGGGTTACTAATAAGATTTTCAAACTGTGCTGAGCAAATAAATGTTTTCATTTGACCAAAATGATTAGTCTGCTGCTGCATACTTATGGTTTGTGTGTTTATGTACATATATAACTTACATGTAAGCCATGGTAGAAAGGTTTTTATATTCATAGTAGATATTCACTAAATATTTTTGAATATTTATATATATATACATTACATTTCAATAAACAGTTTACTTAAAAAAAAAAAAAAACAGATTATTCAAGGCTCAAATTAATTCTATTCAAATTAATTCCATTCCCCCATTCAGATCTCAAAAGTTTATCTTTACTAAGCAATCCATCCTAATATAACTTTTCTTTACAGGCCTAAAATATTTTGTACTTCAAAACCTAGATCTCTAACTTAATGCAATGATTTCACATTTTATTCAAAAGCTTATTTTACTCTTGCTTTCTTTGTTATTCATATAGTTTATGAGTTCAAAGTTAACTATGCAACTACTCGAGGAAGTTAGTCTAAATCTCCAATCTACATAGTCATGAGTAAAAGAAGTCCACAGTAATAAATCCCTATATGTACGTTTCAGCTACATAATTAAATTGTTTATTCCAAAGAATTATCCGTGAAACTGGAAAAATGCTGATGCACACAGTAAAACTTTCCTGAACAATCAACAAAATATAATAGCTCAGAAAAAATAATCAGAGAAAAAAGTAAGACTGCTTTTACTCCTCTATGTTGACATTTACAAAGAAAATCCAATTGGAATAAAAATTTTCAGCCAATTCCTTCACTAGTTAAATTCATACAATTCTAGAAATATTTAAATTAATATTTTATACAATAATTTAATAATTTCACCTTTAGTTGATAATATGTTCTATTTAAATAGTCCTATTTATCTTATAATTAGAGATGGCAATAATGAAGTCTTTCTGGTAATAAAAAAAAAAATCACCAAACTTAGTATTTAAAAAGCAAACAAAAAATACCAACTTGCAGTACCATCCCGAAATTCAATAAAAAAAATTAAGTGAATATTTATTATGAATATAAAAACCTTCCTACAATAGGAAGTATAAACATGAATGTAGCATGGTTCAGGTCCTCTATGCTCAGAAAAGGATGTATCAAATAATTACATAAATTAACTGATATGTGGCACTTAACATACACCTAGATTTCAAATCTGTTCTAAGTAAAAAATTAAGAAATTTCAATGTATGATTCCATCATAACTCAAAGTCATAAAATATTAATAACAACCAAATGAATCTGGGCTATATTCCCCAATTCTCTCAGAAAAAAATACTAACATAAAAATAGCGATAAACTATCAGGAAACCTAGATTTTAGTCTTGATGCTGCTATTAAATATTCGTGAAATCTTAAGTACGTCATTAACTTCTTTGGACCTTTACTCCTTCATCTCTAAAATAAAATAGTTGATTTAAACCATCTCTCAAAATCTTTTCAACTCAAAGATTCTAGCAGAAAAAGCCAAAAAATAAGCATGGGGAAAAAAATCAATAGAAAGAAAATCAAATCGAAAGAGTCTGTAAGCAAGAATTCCTACTAACTACATGGTAATAAAAATAGTCTTCCACTAAAGAATCTAGAGTACCTAATGCTAGACTAAGAATCAGAAGACCTGGGTTCTACTACTAACATGACTGAAGGAAAAATTACCTGGCTACTCTAAGCCTTAGTTTCTTGAGCTATACAATTAATATAACATCTACACTGCTCTCCTTTACATGATTGCTAAGAAAAAAGCTGATACGTAACTGTGCCACATAAATTCTAAAATTCCACAAATATTCTCATTACTAAAATATGACTTAAAATAATTTTCTATGGGCTCTGAAAATGATTAACCTACTTTTCTACTTAATTCTAAGAAAAAAATCAAGATTAACATATTATTGAAAATATGTCATTTCAATCATTACAAAAACCTGTTGATAAAACCTTCCCAAAAGATTTAATCATACAAATATCAGACATTATCATCATTATTGAGTAGTCACCGTATTCCAGACACTGTGCTAAAAGATTTTCTAATTTAATCTTCACATTATGTAAGATAGGTAACATCATTATCCCCTATTACATATGAATAAATTGGGCTCGAAAGGCCAGAAAATGGCTCCAAAATTATGAAGCTAATTAGTGGAAATGCCAAAATTCCAATCCCAAGTAGACTGACTCCAAAGTCTAGTCCTTTAACAATAACACTATGTCACCTCTACCACCTTAATACTGATACTGCAATATTTTCAGACGCCTAACAGTTCCAGTCCTACCATTGGTCTAAGTAGAATGTCAACTCTATCTACATATGCAGTAAAACCCATCGATCATTTTTTAAAACTTAATTTCAACTCTGGGATCTTAGCCTCTGACAGACAGAAGCTTTCTGTCATTTTTTTCTCCTTCTGAATAAATAGGAGATGGGAAAGAGAAGCAGTAAAAGCACGATATGAAGAGGGTGGGAGAAGGGCTCTCTAAAAACTTTATGTTAGGTCATTTTCTCCTAGTATCTTTGATTCTACTGTTTCAGTCTGCTAAAAGATACCACCTAAAGTAAAACTCCAGATCTTCTCCACTCAGCAAAGAACCTGTCGAACGGCAAGATTCAAAGACTGGGTCTCTCAATTTTAGGTTTTCCTCAGAGAAATTTATTGACCGTTCTCTGACATTAGGGATGGTAAAAGCCTAGATCACAAAAACAGCTCTACAGTAATAGTTGAGTGAGCTAATTTACTGCTTCTCCAACTTTTCTGTAAGTACCTATGAAACAGTATTTCAAAGAGAACCTTATATGACTACAGTTACTATTACATAACTTAGCAGGGACACTTCTGCCTGAAGTTGAAAGACAAAAAAAGAAACTGTTACGATTACCAATAACTTAGTAAAATTGCTAAATTAAGAAGGAAACTGTAAGGTGGCTCCACTGACATCACTACATAAAATACAAAAGATATGTAGAAGTCCAGGTGAAAAAAAAATACAAAAGAATTTTAGCAAATAGCCAAAATAAAAATACACTATGCAAAAAAAGCAGGAAAACTTCCGACTGATAAATCGCTAAAATAAAAAGAGAATATCATAATGTATAATACTGCCATCTGTATGCTGGGTTAATTGTAATAAACTTTTCATTGAGGTGTCAACACAACATTTAACAAGAATATAAGTGTTTTTTAAATTGTGTTAGAAAGTATGCTTATGTGACATTAAAATATTTTGTCTCCATCTGCTGGAAAATAATAGAATTCTCCTAAGGTCAATACAAATTTTATTAATTCCAGAAAAGTAGGAAATTCTGAATATTTAAACCACATCTTTAGTTTTTATACATTTTCATGAAATTTCAGACAATACTCCTACATTTTGTTACAGAATATAACAAACCAAATGCATTATTATGTACTCACAGAATCATACTCTGTATTAATCTATTTTAAGTAGAAACTCATATATGAGAATATTTTCAAGTACAAAACTATGTATTTAATTAACTTGCTCCCAAATACATCATAATTAAAACAATCTTCCAAAGTATTAATAATTTAAATAAGGCTTCAAAAGACTGCAAATTTTTATCAATGCTTTCTCATATGTAAACTCAGGTCATATACTTATAATACCAAAAGAAATGCCGGAGGCCAGGGGCAGTAGCTTACACCTGTGATCCTTACACTTTGGGAGGTCAAGGCAGTTAGGTCAAGGCTTAAGTTCAGGAGCGCAAAACCAGCCTAGGCAACACGGTAAAGCCCCATCTCTTCGAAAATATAAAAAATCATCTGGGAGTGGTGATTCACACCTGTAGTCCCAGCTACTTGGGGGGCTGAGGTGGGAGAATCACTTGAGTGGGAGGTGGAGACTGCAGTGAGCTGTGATTATGCCACTGCACTTCAGCCTGGGTGACACAGCGAGACTGTCTGGAAAAAAATTTTTAAAAGCCTGTGTGTCTATAATCAAAATGCAGAAATACCTTTAGTAATCGATGACACACCACAGTCTTCGGGTGGAAGACCTGTCCCTCCATCCTTCCAGTACGGATTCAATTCTCTTTCCATCAGTTTGGACTAGAACAAATCATTTTCACAGGTGAAATTTCAAAAACAGATCCATCACAAAAAAATTAACAAATAATAAATCGGAGACCCAATTAACAGCAATAATCCTGGACAAATCACTTAAAACATTCTTAAGACATGCTGTTCTATAACTTGCAGGAACTGTCTAAATTCATATTCATTCAATGTTTTTATTGAATGCCTACTATATCTCAAAATTGTGCTAGATGTAGAAGATTTAACTGTCAAAAATCCTGGTCAACCCTTGCTAGCTTTTAGTACAGTAAGGAATACAGACAATAAAAACAGGCACATGCTTTGAAGACAGAAATATACAGTACTAAGGATCCAAAAAAATTCAAATCCTTCTCACATTGAAGGATCAAAGACTTCCTAGAGGGACTAAATGTGCAGTCTTAGACCTAAACATGAGCAGAAATCAACTACATTTTCTTTCTTCGTGGTGGGGAGGGAACATAAAGATGTTTGTTCCAGGTAGAAAGAATAATAGCAGTAACTGCAGCACTTTCAGGAAACTTAAACTAATTCTAACTGGCTAAAACTTAGACTGTGAGTGACCAATACCACAAGATTAGGTTGTAGCATAATCAGGGACTGGGCCAGGTGAGCCATTTTGAACTGCTGTGAGGGTTTCATACCGGACCAACAGAGACTCATGAACATGATCGGCTTCAAATCACACAAAGAGCAAACCAGGCTCAGCATGGAGGAAAGACTGGAGAAAAACAAGATTAGAGGCACAACTCCAGTCAGAAGTCTGTGGCAGTAATCCAGGCAAGAGATGAATAGCAGCCTAATCACAGATGCAAGTACCTCCTATGTTCTAAGCACGATGTCAGGCATTGGGACTGTAATGTGTAAGACAGCCATGGTCCTTGCCATTAAATAAATTACAGTCTAGAGAAGGGGGAAAGACAATCAAGCAATATAAATATAGATAAATGAGATCAAAGTAAAGGATGCTAAAGAACTGCATACTAATTTTACCTAACTTGACCTTGGGGAGTGAGGGTTAGAAAATGCTTCCTACAAGAAGTAAATAGCAAGAGGATGGCAAGAAATGAAACAAGTCAAATGTTAGGAACTTTAGTTTCCAGGAATATAATACACTACTAAAAATTAAAATGCTATCTAAAATTTGTTTTTAAAAAGGCTTTTTTAAATGTGTTCATGAGGTGACCAGAAAGTAAAGAATCTTCAAAGGAGAAAATTTAAGTTAAAGACTAACCTAAAGGGATACGCAAAACCATAGGGATTTTATTTCTTAGTTTCTATCAGAAAAGGTTCTGTCACTTCCTTTGTTAGTTTACCACAAAATCTTTCAATATCTACAGTCAAGGAATTTCTTCCAATGGTCTTAGCTAGACACTCAAAGACACACACATCAGATAGTTAACTGAAAAAAAAAAAAGGTTAGAATTGCATACTAAGGACAATTGACAAGAAGCTAGACAAATTGTGAGATACTATCTGAAAATGTATAAAAGACAAAGGACTGAAAACATAAAGAACTTCTTTAATCAGCTAGAAAAAGACAAATAACCCTACTAGAAAAGTAAGCAAAAAACACAAACAGCAGCTCACAGTACAAGAAATCTGAATGACCAAAAAACACAAAAAGATCTCTATTGTAGTAATCAGATAATGCATACAAAAAAAAGAAATACCATTTCTCATCCATCTGACAAAAAATTATAAAGTTTGACAATTACAGATACTGAGTAACAGAAAAGAAACATATGCTGCTGCTGCAGTACAAACTGGAATTCCATTTTACCAGGATTGCATGATAACCCTAGAAAAGCTACCAGCTTTGGCACTTCCTTTCTTCTCTGGATTCAAGCTTTTGCCTCGTTTTTTGGTCTCTACAGATTTCCTATTGCTTCCTTACTGGCATAGTAACAACAATAAAGTATAAAATAAGCATGCTTATTTTACATTTTATCTACCAGAAATTCTAGATGTCTTGAAATGGAAGTATTTTTATGGTATCTAATTCAACTGAAACAGAAGTTGAGTTCACTTTCAATTTAATGGTATTAACCTAAACTCAATGTTCACTCACCTTTATATATGCCCTAGATTTATAAACCCAATAAACCTTTAACTCACTTCTATAGGAAATATATTTTTATTTAACTGATATCACATTTCATAGTTGTTTTCACTAATTGTATTAAATACTATAAAAATAATATTTTACAAGTTCAACTGCTTTATATAAATGTCTTACAAGTTTATTAAAGGTAAATTAGAAAATTAAAGCATTTCAAATATTCTCTTACCTGTTCAAGTGCTTGGGTTTTCTCTTGCTCTATTTTCCTCATAGTTTCCTTTTCAGCTTTGAGTGATGAGGACGACACAGTTTTAACAGACATAAAATCAACAGTCATCCACTCATCCCTCTGTTAAAAAAAGGCAGCCATTTCAATCTGAACTGATTAGAATTTAATAAACACTTGGTAATAAGAGCAAAGATTTTGGAAGCAATCAAACCTGAATCAAGTTCAACATGGCTATATAACTTGAAGCAAGTTTCTTAATCTCTCTGTACTTCAGTCTCTCCTCTATAAAATGGTATAAAATGTCTATCTTTCAAGATTGTTTTAAAGAGTAAGCAAGATAACAGATCTAAAGCATCCAGCCCAGTCTGGCAATCAAGCAATTGACAACAAGCACTTAAACTACGTTCCTGTTCAACTTTCTCCTTCACCTGTGGCTAACAGTGAACTAATTACATTCTTCCGTAGGCAGATGAACTACAATCCAAAGTTTGTGAACTATTCAACTGTTAAGTATTGTTAAGAAAATTAAGGCATGAGGTAAAGGGAAAGAAAAACTGTGATGGAACTCTACTCACTGTAGAAGGGTCAGAGAGAGAACAGTATAAGGCTTTAGGTACATAAGTGGGAGGTGCCACTTCTTAACAATCAAAAGCATGAAAACCTCTAAGGCAGGAGAATAGAGAGGAACACTCACTTTTTCACAGTAGAAGGGGAAGTGGGGGTCTAAACATTCAGCAAACAGCATTACTGCCAAAATTATTCATGAAGTATATTGTTTTCAAAGTCTAATTTTTCTCCTGAAAAAAATTTAATCATCTTTCATTTTTATATTCATTTATTCTCAGAAGTTGATACTTCTTTCTTTAAAATCAAGTAGTAGGCTAGGTGCACTGGCTCAGGTGTCTAATCCTAGCACCTTGGGAGGCTGAAGGGGGAGGACTCTTTGAACTCAGGAGTTCAAGACCAGTCTAGGCAACATAAGGAGACCCCATCTCTACAAAAAATAAAAAATTAGCCAGGCATGGTGGCACACACCTGTGGTCCCAGCTACATGGGAGGTTGAGGTGGGAGCATCACTTGAGCCTGGGATGTTGAGGCTGTGATGAGCTATGATTGTGCCACTGCAGCCCAGCCTGGACAGGAGTGAGACCCTATCTCTAAAATGAATGAATCAAAGATGGACGGACAGGCGGAAGGAAGGAAGGAAGGAAGGAAAGAAGGAAGGAAGGAAGGAAGGAAGGAAGGAAGGAAGGAAGGAAGGAAGGAAGGAAGAAGGAAGGAAGGAAGGAAGGAAGGAAGGAAGGAAGGAAGGAAGGAAGATAAGGTGGCTTGCTTACCTTCATAATTTGGCTGTCATCTTTTTGTGACTTTTCATCTTTCACTTTCCAGGCCTTTTCCTTGTCAGGAATCTGGGATGGAACAGCTTCAACCCACTCATCTTCAGAGCTCTAAGAACATTTAGCATGTAAGTGAAATTCTCAAATTTGCATACTTTGATATGAAAATTCTGTGCTGTTAAGTAGTAGAAATTCAGCATCCTAGGAAAAATGCTTACACTGTATTTCCCCTTTACAAAATGACATTGAAATTTTAAAGAGCTGGGTGCAGTGGCTCACACCTGTAATCCCAGCACTTTGGGAGGCCGAAGCGGGTGTATTACTTGAGGTCAGAAGTTCGAGGCCAGCCTGGCCAACATGATGAAACCCGTTCTCTACTAAAAATACAAAAAAGTTAGCCAAGTGTGGTGGTACATGCCTATAATCCCAGCTACTCAGAAGGCTGTGGCAGAAGAAACACTTGAACCCAGGAGGTAGAGGTTTCAGTGAGCTGAGGTTGTGCCACTGCACTCCAGCCTGAGTGACAGAGATTCCATCTCAAAAGATTAAAAAAAAGAAATTTTAAAGAAAAAAATGCAAACCTACTAGTTTGAGTTAAATCTACAAAACAAAATCAAATTATTTTTATTTTCTTATCCATTTATTATCAAGCCAAGAGAAAGCAAAAAAACAAAAATGAGAACTGCCAAGTAGAGAACTCACTTCAGCACAGAGCTTCAGTGCCTACTCACATCTCTGCTATACTAGAACAGGGGAAACAACACCCAGGTAAATAAGTTTGCTGTTTGCCCCTCAGTTTCACATTTTGAGATTTCCCTTGATCTAAAACTGCAGATAACATTATCTTCCTCAACGCCCTCCTCAGGCTTTATATCAATTCCCATATTCTCACTAAATGATATCTTTTCTTACTTCATGAAGAAAACTGGGGTCACCTTATCTTCCTACTCATCTCCCAACACATTTATGGATCTGCCTATCCTTATTTCCAATTAATTCCTCCTGTTTAAGGCAGATCCTGCTCTAAAGATTTTGATACCAACTCTTTCTTTTCCTCCAGGACCTTGCTCCATCAATTATCTTCTCCTCCTAAGGCATCAACCAAAGATCCCTAATGGCCTAGAAATGTGATCATTTATTTCCCATCCTTTTTTTTTAGGGGGAGGGGAACCTTCTTTGACCCTATATATTCCTCCTCTAGCAGGAATTAATCTTCCAGTTTCCATTCTTAGATGAACTGCTTGAAAGAGTAGTCTACATGCACTGTCTTCACACTCTCACTTTCATACATTTTCTCAAAACTCTACAATATATCTACTGTCCCTATTAATCCACTGAAACTTCTCCAAACTCACCAATGGCATCCACTGTGCCAAACTGAACAAAATGTTTCGATCTTCAGCTTTCTAAACCTTTCTGCTCAATACAACTCTGTTCATGACTCACTTTCCTGACTTCCATGACACTTCTCAGCTCTCCTCCCACGCTTTGTTTCTTTCCCATTTCCTTTATGAACTCTTCCTCCTTTGCTCAGCCCTTAAATGTCTATGTTATTTGGGGTTCCATGCCCATGACATTTTTAAATCTCTAAACATTCCCTTTAATGGACCATTAAAACCATTCTGATGGCCTGAACTACAATCAATTGTGCTGATATCTTTCAAATTTGTCTAATCAAAGTGTCACTGACTAATTGTCTGTTGTAGTTGGATGGCATGCTAACCTCAGTAAGAATAGAAAATAAAGCCATCTTCTTCTACAAAATCTACTCCTCCTTGTAAATTATTGAAGTTAGTTATCTGGAACAACCAACCACCCACTTAACCAAGTCAGAAACTCAGGATCACGTTACCTCACACATTCAAGCCTACCATTTTCATTTCTAAAATATTTATCAAATATACCATACAGTGAATACATGATTACCATAGGAGCCTACCTGTATCCCTGGCGACTGCTGATTAGTTCAAAGGTAGGTATCTAACCCAATTCATATCAATCTGAGCCATTCCTGAGGAATCTGAAATCAGGTCTAAATGGGTTTATCTAAAACTAAGAACTGGAAAAGCATTGGAACAGGCCATTTCTGTCATGAGAAATAGGAATCAGCAAAATTTTTTTAAAAAATAGAACTCAGGATGGGGAAATGAAAAATTACAAGAAAATTACAAAAACCATTCATAATTCTAATTCCAGCCATTCCTGAAGCCTACATCTATATGTCTTAGGAGAATTTTGTACTCTAATAATAAACCCTCCTTTTTGCAAAAGCCAATTTAAATTCAGTTTCTGTTACCTGCAACCAAAATACCAACTGATATTCTCTTTCATCCTTGAAGTAGCAGCCCTAGATCAGATCCTATCTCTCACATAAACAATTGATTCCAGAACAAATTAGTCTTCTGGACTCCAGTCTTTCCTGCTCCCCTTCCTTCTCCAACCCCACACCCCAAATACATTTAGAGTAATATAAAGGGAACATCTGACCACTATACTTCTCCTCTAGGGCTTCCCATCACAACGACTGCTAGTTATTCCTCTTCTTTCCCACCAACAGAATCCCATTTTATTTGGAAAAGTAAATGTAATTACCATGCTAGAAAGTGAAGCCTTATGATCAAGTGTCCAATTAGATGTAAGCAAAAGCATTTTACAGGACCTTCTGGAAGTCAAGTTAATAAAGAAGAACATCTTCTTTCCTGTTATCTGGAGTAAGAGGCAATGCTATAAAGAATGATGGAAACGCAAGACAATAGAAGCCTTGACCCCAGAAGACCATACTAGCTCTAGACTGCCTATCTGGCTTATTTCATTTAAGACAAAAATGAACTTCTATCTTGTGTAATCAATGGCTATTCTAAGATTTTCTAATACATGCAGCTGAACCTAATTAGATGATACATTCCCTACTGAATAAAGTCAAAGCTCTTGGTTTACAAGTCCCTGTCAATTCTGACAGTTTTATCTACATTCACCCCTCCTCTTGTTTTATAATTTAGTACTATCAAATTGCTTATAGTTATATATACATACATACACACATACTCACACTCATATTATCTCATACTTCCATGTCTCTGCTCTGGCAATTCCTTATGCATGAAATGCCAAGAACACCTTTATTTGCCTAATGCTTACTAATCTTTCTAGTCTCAACTCAAGCACCGTTTCCTCAACAAGTTAGCAAATAAAATCCCTCTTACCTCAATATCCTGTACTACCACAGCATCACGTTGAATGGCATGCTAAACTCAGTCAGAACAGAAAATAAAGCCATCATCTTCTTCGACAAAATCTACTACAAAATCATATTAATATTATGTATCTATTTATCCAGTTAGGAAATGAGTTCCCCAAAGGTTTAAAAACAACTTTATATTTTTATACTCCCCATGTCTAGAACAGTGTGTGGCAAAGAATAAGCATTTGATAAATGCAAGCTGAAATTATATGAAATGTCTTTTTCTACTCTTTCAATAGCACTAATTAGAAACTTTAAGCAGCAACCTATACTCATTTTCACAATTATGCACTCACTTTACCACTTCAGCAAAATTCAAGCTCCCCATGCTATGACTTCAGTTCTCTTGCTGATTTTAGTTTCAATCCTCCATTTTACCTCAAGCTCATTAAGCATCAAGCTTAATAGGCCTCCTGACCTAACACAGCCTTCAGGGCTCTCATCTTGCACAGCCTTCAGAATTAACTACATCCCTAATTCTATCCAGTGGCCAAAACCTAGAAGGTGAAACTAAGACAGAAAAGTGCTACCAGCAAAAATCAAGGGAACTTGACGACTTCTGCTTCTGTCCACGACAAAGTAAATGGCATCAAACTAGAAATATATACAAATTAGAATAAAAATGAACACTAAAATCTCTCCAACTTTTTGTCTAAAGGCACTTTCTAGACTGTGGCATAGAGGGGTAACCCAAGCAGAACATGAAAATCTCACTGAGCAAAGGAAAAAGAATTTAAACTTTGTGAAGGCTGTGACAAAGTGTAGATGGAGAGCTACATAGAGAAAGTGCCAGAACTCTATTTAAAGGATCCTTGGAGTCTTCAAATAAAGACCAAGCTGAACACGCTGAGGATAAGAGTCCACAAGGTCAGGCAAAGAAAAACTACCATGGAAAAAACAATTACCAAAGATCTGTAAGCAGAACAATCCCCAGAGCTCACAAAGGGCTGGAGGACATTCTAGTTCCTACCAAACAGAGTAAAGAAACCTCGCTGAACATCCGGGACAATTATCAGAGAACCCACAAGGGTCATGCCTTAGTAGAAAGGCTAAACCAGCCCTAGAGTAAAGCTATTCTAGATGTATATGAACAAAACTTAAAAACAAGTCTTGAAAAGGATTAAGCTAATTCACAATTAACTGCCAAAAGAAAGCTCAGTACCCTCTTAAGAAGTCAACAAAATCCAGCAGTCACAATATAACTTTCATAAGATTCAGCATCCAATTAAAAGTTCTAAACATTCAAAGCAGCAAGCAAATGTAATCCATATTCAAGAGAAAAATCATTTAATTGAAACAGAACAGGAAAAAACGAGATAGAATGAAATAGCAAACCAAGACTTTAACACAACTATCATAAATATGGTCAAGGAAGGGAAAATGTGAACATAATGAGGAAATAAACTGAAAAACATTAAAAAGATCCAAATGAAACTTCTAATGATTAAAAAAAAAAAATACAGTACCTGAAATGAAAATTCCCTGGATAGCAATAACAGTAAGCTAAATACAGAAAAAGAAAAGTCCAGTGAACCTGAAGCTCATGACATAGCAATAAAATATACCTAACCAAAACATAGAAAGGAAAAAGGCTAGAAAGAAAGTGAACACAGGCTCATCAACCTGTGAGACATTATTTTAAGGAGACTACCAAAATGACAGGGAACAGAAAAAAAAAAAAAAAAAAAAAAAAAAAAAAAAAAAAAAAAAAAAAAATCCCAGAAAATTTCATATTTGATGGAAACTGTAAACTCACAAAGCAAAGCCGCACAGTGAACCTAAGGCAGATGCTACACTATCAATGTTTGTGTCCCCCACCAGATTCTTACATTGAGATCCTAAACCCCAAGACAATGATAGTAGGAGGTGAGGGTTTGGGAGATGACTGGGAATGGGACTGGGGGGCTTATTAAACATAGCCCAGGCTGAGCACGATGGCTCATGCCTATAATCCCAGCACTTTGGAAGGCTGAGGTGGGTGGATTACCTGAGGTCAGCAGTTTGAGATCAGCCTGGCCAACGTGGTGAAACCTCGTCTCTACTAAAAATAGAAAAATTAGCCAGGCATGGTGGCACACACCAGTAATCCCAGCAACTCAGGAGGCTGAGGCAGGAGATTTTCTTGAGTCCAGGAGACAGAGGTTGCAGGAAACCAAATTGTGCCACTGCACTTCAGCCTGGCCGAAAGAGCGAGACTCTGTCTCAAAAACAAAACAAAACAAAAAAATAGCCCAACAGCACTCCCTTCTGCCACGTGAGGTTAGAGTGAGAAGACAGCCAACTATGAGGAAGCAAGCCCTCACCAGATACAAAATCTGCCAGCGCCCTCGATCTTAGACCTTCAAGTCTCCCAAACTGTGGGAAATAAGTTTCTGTCATTTATAATCCACCCATTTGTTTTGGTATAACACAAATAGACCAAGACAGCAGAATAAACACAAAGAAATCCACACCAAGACGTAACACAATTGATTCACTGAAAAATAATCATGAAAAAAGAGCCCTAAAAGCATCAAGAATAAAAAAGCACACTACATACAGAGAAAAAAAGATTAAAATGACTACAGAATCCTCAATATGTACAATACAAGCCTGAAGACACCGGGATGACATTTTATGGGATGGGGGGGGAACTATAAACTTAAAATTCTATACCTAACAAAGTATCTGAAAAATGAAGATGACTAGTAAGAACTTCTTAGTTTGTGGTAAAAGAAAATAAGAAAGAATGAAGATGAAATAAAAGAAATTTTCAAATAATAGCTGAAAGAATTCAGTCTGCAAATCTACAATACATATTAATGAAAGTTCTACAGACAAAAGGAAAATGGTATTAGAAATTTAGACCTATATAAAATAATAGAGAATATCAGAGATGATACATCTGTGGGTATATATAAAAGACTTTTCACATGTGTAACTTATTTAAAAGGTAACTGACTAAAGTAAAAATAATGAGAATGTATGACATTAAAAATTATAAATAATGTGGGTTTATAACATATGTAGAAGTCAAATATATGACAACAACAGCAAAAAAATATGGTAGGAGAAAATGGAAGCATATTTTGGTGAAGGTCTAATCATAAAAGTAAAATCATATATTATTTGAAAGTAGAGTATGGTAAGTTAAAATATGGATAAGACTTAGAGCACTCATTAAAAATAAATAAGGTATACCTAATAAGCCTATAGCAGAGATAAAATGGAATGCTAAAAAACAATCCAAAAGAAGGCAGGAAAAGGAGGGAACAAAGGAAAAAAGAACAAAATAAAAATAGAAAAGGAATAATAGGTTGGTAGACTTAAACTCATCCATATCAACTATTACATTAAACATAAATAATCCAAACCAGTACTATTCAACAGAATTTTTCTATATATATACTGTCCAATATAGTAGCCACATAAATATGGCCAATATAATTTTAATGAGTTTTAGTTAAAAATGTAAAAGCCATTTATTACATACCTAACAAAGCTTCAAAATATATAAGGCGAAAACTGACAAAACTGAAAGCAAAAATAAGTAAAAATCCACAAAACAATTAAAAGATTTAAATACTATTTTCTCAGTAACTGTACAGGTGAACAGAAAATCTGTTTTATTAACACTAAACTTAATACTATTAATCAACTTTCCCTAATCGACATTTATAAAACACTATACCTAACAATGGCAGAATACATACTCATTTCAAATACACATGGAATTTTCACCAAGACAGACCATAGGCTAGTACATAAAATGTCTCAAAACTTTTTAAAAACTAAAATTATAGAGTATAATAATAATTAAGTTCAAAGTCAATAACCAAAATAAACTAGTAAATCCACAAATATCTGGAAGTTTAAAAATTCGTCTATGTCCATGAGTAAGGAAAAGAAAGGTAAAAAATATTTTTAATAGGACAGCAATGAAAATATAACAACTAAGTTAGATAGAGATACAACAGTGCTAAGAGAAAAATTTATAAAATAAATACTCATTAGAAAAGAAGATTTCAAATCAATGGCAATGCATTCATCTTAGAAAGTGAGAAATGAGCTAATTAAACACAAAAGTATAAGCAAAGAATAAATATAGTTTAAATCAGTGAACCAGAAAACACACAACCAGAGAAAAATTCAAGGAAACTGAAAGCCAATAAATAAAGATTAATAAAACCGATATGCCTCAAGATAGACTGACAGAGGAAACAAAGAGAAAATAGAAATTACCAATATCAGGAATGAAAGAGAGGATGTCACTATGGATTCTGCAAACTTTTAAAGAACAAAGGAAATATTACAAACAACTTTATGAAAATAAATTTGACAATTTCTATGGAATAAATCCCCAGAAAAACCCAAATTACTAAAACTAACTCAAGAATAAACAGAAAATATTTAACATAACTATTAAGGGAATTAACTTTGTGGTTAAACCCATTCCACAAAGAAACTCCAGGACCAAACAGTTTCACTGGTGAATTTTAACACTTATAGATGCAAAAAAAGCATTTACCCAATTCAACACTCATTCAAGATACAGACTCTCTTAAAACTAGAAATAGAATGTAATTTCCTTAATTTGAAACGGCATACATGAAAGTCCCAAAGCAGACATCGTGCTTAAATGTAAAAACCTGAAAGCTTTTCACCTAAGTTAAGGAACAAGGCAATCATGTCCACTCTCACCACTTCCATTCAACACTATTTTTAAGTCCTAGCTACTGAAATAAGGCAACAAAAATCAACAAATAAAACAGACATAGAGATTGAAAAGAAAAAATAAAAGTATTTTTCACACATGACATACCATTTACCTAGAAATCATAAGAAATCTACTAAAAAAGCTACCAACACTAGTAGTAGTAAATTTAACAAGGTGACAAGATATACAAGGTAAATACACCAAATGCAGTTTTTTCGGATCTTATTGTTTCAAAATCAGTTCTACAATTATATACTAGCTGTAAAGACATTTATTTTAAAATTCAATTTACAATAGCACTTCCAGAAAACAAAATGGAAAAAATATGTAACAAACGACATGTAAGACCTCTATACTAAAAATTTCAAAACATTATGAGAAAAACCAAAGAAGACATAAATGGCTGGAGAGATGTAACCTGTGCATAATGGATTGAAAGAATATTTTAAGATATCAATCTCCCAAAACTCCTTCCAATAGCATCAACAAATGACGCTAGAAAAACTGAAATCCATGTGGGAAAAAAACAAACTGACACTACATAACATAAATAAAAAATATTTATGGATTATAAATAAGCAAAAAAGCTAAAGCTATAAAACTTCTAGGGAAAAAAAATAGGAGGCCAAGCATGGTGGCTCACACCTATAATCCCAGCACTTTAGGAGGCTGAGGCAGGAGATCCACTAGAGCCCAGGAGTTTGAGACCAGCCTGGGCAACATAGTAAGACTGCATGTCTACAAAAAAAAAAAAAAACTTTAGCAAATTAGCTGGGTGGAGGTACACATCTATAATCTTAGCTGATTGGGAGACTACGGCAGCAGCATTGCTTGAGCCCTGGAGTTCGAGGCTGCAGTGAGCTACCATAGTGCCACTGCACTCCAGTCTGCGCAACACAGTGAGACCCTACCTATCTCTTAAAAAAAAAAAAATTAATAAAAACACCAAACATAGGAGAAATCACAATCTTGAGGTGTGCAAAAATTAGTATACCAGAAGCACTAAGAAAAAAATGATGAAAAGCCAAAAAGAAAATATTTCATAAACTGAATTTTACAAAGGAAGACATAGGGTGCCCTATAGAGACTTAAAATAATGCTCTACATCCTTGTCCTTCGGGAAAGCACCACATGAGATATTACACAGTAGAACAGCTAAAAACTACAAAGACTGACAATACCAAGTACTAGCAAGGATGAGGAAAAACTGGAACTCATACACTTTGGCTGTATGAGTGCAAAATGCCCAGCCACTTTGGAAAACAATGGCATTTTTCCTCCCAGAAAAAAGAAACATGTATATCCACAAGTGTATACAAATGTTCACCACAGCATTATGCCTAACACCCCCTAACTAAAAATAACCCAAATGACTTTAACAGATAAAAAAAAAAAAGCAAATTGTGGTATATTCACACACTGGAATACTGCAATAAAAAGAAAGTATCTACTGATACATTCAATAGCAGGAATAAATTACCAAAACACTAGTGGGGTCAAAGAAGCCAGGTACATCAAAGATCATGTTACATGAACCAATTAACATAAAAATCCAGAACAAGAAAAACCTATAGTATGCAAAAAGAGATATGCAATCGTTCAAACCCAAAGTGGAGGAGGAGAGAGGGAGACAGGGGACTGACTAGAAGAGGCTATGAAGAATGTTATGGGATAGTGGAAATACTTTGTATCTTAACTGACATGGTTAAACAGGCACATTAAACAGGCAAATAGCTGCTTTGATTAATTTTAGTACATACTTACTGATGAGCTATCAGATAACTCATGGTTTTTTTCATATTTCTGTTTCTTGCTCTTTTTTTTCTTCTCTTTCTTTGCTTTTTTTGAATGCTTGTCTTTTTTCTTCTTTTTCTTCACAGAGTGTTCCTGCAATCATTTTGAACAGGCAAGAAAAGAATTTATCTTTATCTTAATTTAAAAGGATGTATTTTGAAAGAAAAAATAAAATCACATTCTAAAATACTTTCAATCTTCGATGAAATAAGACAAAGAATATGTCTAGATAAATAAAATCTTTCAGGAAACCTTAGAACACCTCTACAATATACACAATATTAATAAATCATATAACTGACTTCTTACCAGAAAAATACTGGGAAAATTTTGGCTTTATTTGGATATCAATGTGACAAATATAATCAAATAAACACATATATACATAAACATGTATACATATGCATATATATACACATAAACACACAGACATATAATATCCTTCTATGGTCCCCCCAGAAATTTATACAAGTCTATTAGGTCATAAAAAATATAACAAGATAGCACAAACTAAAATTACAGGAAGAGGCTAGGGGAAGAAGCAGGGATAGGGAAGAAAGGGAAGATGTTGATCAAAAGGTACAAAGTTTGCATAACACTAGAAATAAGTTTTAGTGATATATTACTGGTGACCGTAGTTAACAATAATGTATTATCTATTTCAAAACCATTGAAGAATAGACTTTTAATGTTCTCATCACAAAAAAATAAGTTGGTGAGTTGATGGATATGTTCGTTAGCTTGACTGAATCTTTCTGTAATGTATACATAGATCAAACCATCATACTATACCCCATAAATTTATACAATTGTCAATTAAAAATAATTTTTTAAAAAATTATAGGAAAACAGGCTTGAGCCCTAAATAAAATAAAATAAAGACATAAAGCTTAAAATGCATAAATTTTTAGGCCTATAAGCTCACTACAGTGGGCCAGAAATTTGAAGCTAACTCTTCTACCAGCCAATTCAAATAACAAAATCTTTCCATGTCATAATGTCCAAAATATTACAATATCTTACTTCTGCCAAGGAGATAAAACTATTCAACAATGCCAATTATGTGATATTCATTCTGTAACTTATGAAAACATTCTATAAAATTATTCCTCCAATATCAGCTTGAATAAGCACCAAAAAAAAATCCTTACATCAAATAAACCTGTTAGCATTCACCTGTGAGAACTGTTCAATTCGCTCATTCACATCAGGTAGCATCCATGTGTCCTCACCCCGAAGTCGCTTAAGTTCTTTACGCCTTTCTTCTTTTTCAAAATTGGCTTTAGCCTACAATCAAAAAAAAAAAAAAAAAAAAAGAGAGAGAAAGAAAAACTGGCAATTGATCCAACTGTTTTTTCACAAAAAAAAGAAAAAAAAAAACCTATGTCATTTTTATATAAAAATATGCACTCATGAATGAATATCTACTCCTTGCCAGGAATTTGCTTCTCCAGTGTGGAAAACATTAAAAAAAAAAAAAAAACAAAATCTCTCCTGCATTTACAATCTCCAGTGATTTGATTCAGCAATCAGAGAAAATCGAGGAACAGAGTCCAGGCCCTCCTGTTTATCTAAGCTCCCTACCTCAACATGACTTGGAATCCCTTTTCCCTTCACCATTCCCATGGCTACTGCCTTAGACTTTTGCAACATTTAGACAGACATCCATGGCTTCAATATGCAATGCCTATACCCCAAAACTCAGCCCCCAAATGCTTCAGGAGGAATCATCTTTGCAGAAAGAAAAGATCATGCTGGTAATTTGTATTCACTCTTCAACAATGGTCAAATGAAGCAAGTTTTTTCTAGGAAATCGTTCCTGCCCTCTCTTTCTTTCCCTATAACTCCAAAGGTGAGTTTGGTCCTTTTCAAATTCTATGCCTATCTCTACTGTAAGATTTATCTCAGCTTACAAACCTTACTCCAAAAGCTGCTTAAAATACCAAAGAGAAAAGGATAAATCATATGATATATATATTATATATATGTAAACATTACTTTATATACATATTATATATATATATATATATATATATACACACATATTACATATGTTGAAATTAGGAAACAATGTCAACATTTTACCTATCCAAGACTAATCGCCCACTCTTCGCCTTTAAAATCTGGCTGTAGTCATTTTCTCCTGTGAGTCTCCTCTCTCTCTTCTCCGCTGGCTCCTTCTCATCTGCATTTAAACTGGTTTAAAACTCTTTCAACTTAAAAACTATCACTGAACTCTCCGTTGCTCTCCCAACTACAACTTTTCCCTTTTAATGCCACATTTCTTACATCTTGAATAGATTGTCAGATAATTCAGTAGCTTACTTTCTCCATTCTTTTTATGTTACCTCTATGTATCTGAAGTTTAGTGAGAAACAGAATGTTTCTCGATCTTTTGTGAGAGGCTAAATATGCTGGGATTCGTGTTAACTTTTGTTTGGATCATCATTTTGTTTGGATCGATAAGGGCTTACAGTAAGTCTGGAATTGATACCAATATAATCAGAAGAAGGAAAAGTCAAACTGAGTTTATTCAAATGTGACTTATATGTGTTCCAGAAACAGGAAAATGTCATTTCAGATACAGCAGTAGCAATGACTGAGGCTGACAGACGTGATGACAGAGTCACTGAAAGCCGCTGGGGATCTACAAAGTGTGCAGTGCGAGTGATAGAAATGTAAAGAATGGATAACTTAAAAGGTAAAGAAACTTGGAGAAAAACAGAAAGATCTCCGTGAAAAGAGAATGAGCAACTGAGACCTGCCAGAACATCTAAAACCGGAAGATTCAAAAGGCTTTACTGGCATTGCAAAGGAAGACCTCACCCAAATTAAGGTGAGATTCAGTACTGACGAGGTGAGGGGAAGGGGTGGGTGGGCTACCTTACGGGAACTGTCAACTCCTACAACGCGAAATAACTACAAAGGCCCCAAAACAGAGGTACCTGGCGCAACACCTCGGCTCTGGCATTCCGGGTCTGTTCTTTCCGCTCTTCGATACTCTTCGCACTTTCAAATCTACCACTAGCAGCCGCCATGCTTGTTGCCATCGTAAAGCTAGGAAGCCGTACGTAAAGTCTAGTTCACGACGGTCGTGATTTAATAAACAAACCAGGACTTCCGGACCCGGAGAAGTAGGAGCGCCGCTTTACCAGCAGAGCATGCGCACTTCTGAGGTCGCTTAGGGTTGGGATTACTGCCGCCCAGGTTTTAAAGACCTGAGAAGTGGTAGAAGGGTTAGTGCTTTCGGGTGTTTGGGTTCGATTGTGAGTAGGATTAATACCCGTATACATTTATTATACATTTTGCACTATATTAACAACTTTCTCACCAATTTCGTCTTAAAATCATCGGAGTAAGTTAGGAACTCCTGGAAGTTAACTTGGTACCTCTCAAAGTTTTCTGCCGAAGTACCCTTTGTCGCCAGAGCATCATCTCCCTGTGCTGGAGGAATGGGATGAAGGGAGGCTGCCAGAAAAGTAGTGGAAGCTGGCAAGGAAGGGCAGAATTGCTTCGAAGATTCAGTGTTTTGTTTTGGTGGTTTTTATTTAGCATATGAAACACTCTTGAATTTTGCATTGCACTTAACAATTTATCCGTGGTTTACTTCAGTTGTTAGAAGTTTACATTATTTTTTTCTCTGACCTCATTATTCACTCATCCATCCAAGCACTTTTCATTACAGTGGGCAGTTATTATTTATTTGTGCGGGGATTTCTTTCTTTTGATTTACGGATGTATCGCCCAAACATAAAACTTTTATGTTCATGAAGAATAAGACATTCTAAAGTGATGAAGTGCTTTGAGAATTTAAGACACTAAGCTTACATTTATAATTATAAAGAAAAAGGCCGGGGAATTAATTATAAACTAGATACGTTAAAGACACTAAAAATAAGTAACAATCGAAAGTTGAGGTAAATACTCTTTCTCTTCAGGTTTCATAAAATCTAATGCGTGTTTGCAAGAAGCTTTCCAAGAGTTTCTGCATTCACTACCATTCTATGACAGTCTAAATCTTGAGCACACAATGGTTACTGTTTGATATGCAATAGAAAGTATTCATTTTTAAAAAAATGTAATTTACTAATTGACCTTACAAGGTAATATTTAATCAACTGACTACATTGACTAATTTTTGTCATAACTAGCATTTATGTCTTTTCAGATTCTCTTGGAATTCAGAAGAGCATCCACTTCACTATTGTGCATCAATTCAATAAAAATAAAAAGTTATTATATTAGAAACGTGTGTGTTTTAATCAGTTCTGGCTGCTATAACAAAAATATCATAGACTGGATAGCTTATAATAAAAACAAGTATTTCTCACAGTTCTAGAGGCTGGAAAATCTAAGAACAAGGTGTTGGTCAATATGCTGTCTGGTGAGGGTGTGTCTTGGTTCCTAAAGTGCAATATTTTGGCTGTGTCTCAAATGGCAGAAAAGGGGAGAGATCTCCCTAGGACTTCTTTTATAGGAATTCATGAGGATGCTGCCCTCATGACCTAATCACTTCCCAAAGTCCCTACCTCCATATACCTGCACATTGGGAATTAGTTTCCAACACAAGAATTTTTGGGAAACAAGCATTCAGTCTAGAGCAATGTGCAAAGTGATATGAAGAAAACTTTAAAATCTCGCGTAGGCTCCCCAAAAGGACTACAACAAATGGAGAGGTATACCATTTGCTCAAAGAAAACAATATTATAAAAAATCATTTCTCTATAAATTAGTTTGTAAATACCATGCAATACAAATAAAATTACCTACAAAAATAATATGTTGGGGTTAGAGAGGGGAACTAGATATATTAATATAGAAAGAAAAAGCAGGTTTTTTTGGCTCGGTTTGCTATTTGGCCACACCTAATACAAATCTAGTCCCATGGCTTCATCAAATAAAGAGTAATATTAATAAGGAGCCTAAAGTAGCTGGTCCAGGTTTGATGTAGTTGCTGAAGGAACCAAATTGTTTCTCATTTTTTGCTTTGTTGCAGTCTATGTTGCAGTCTCTTTGTAGTCACAAGGAGGGTATCACATTGTTTCACATCTGTTCATGGCATCTGATAAACACAAGAATAAAGGGAAAGGACAAAGGGTAAAATGTGAATGCTTGCTAAGCTGGCCTCAGTTTTTATTAGAAAAATGATGGCTTGGCCAGGCGTGGTGTCTCATGCCTTTAATCCCAGCACTTTGGGAGGCCAAGGCGGGTGGATCATGAGGCCAAGAGATCAAGACCACCCTGGTCAACATGGTGAAACCCCGTCTCTCCTAAAAATACAAAAATTAGCTGGGCATGGTGGCGCACGCCTGTAGTCCCAGCGACTCGGGAGGCTGAGGCAGGAGAATTGCTTGAACCCAGGAGGCGGAAGTTGCGGTGAGCCGAGATCGCGCCATTGCACTCCAGCCTGGGTAACAAGGGCGAAACTCCGTCTCAAAAAAAGAAGAAAAGAAAAAGAAAAGTGATGGCTTTACCTGAAGCCTACTTCAGTTTTGTTTTGTTTTGTTTTGTTTTTTTCATTTAAATCTTGTGATTCAGAAATAGTTCACATGGTCACAACTACAAAAGTTTTCATGAAGATTTCAGGACGGTTGCATTATAGAATGTCACTCAACTTGGGTTTGTCAGAGGTTCTTTTGTGATTAAATTCAAGTTAGGCATCTTAAGCAGGACTCGCAGAAGTCAGGCTGTCTTACTGCATCCTGATTTCCATTTATTCCATTACTGGTGATGTTAACTCTGATCATTTAAATAAAGTGGCATCTGCCGAGCTTCTCTGCTGTAAAGTACCTCTTTTCCCTCTATAATTATTAATTATTCTGTGAAGTGGTTCTTTGAAACTATGTAAATTTTGTACCAGATTTTCAAGTTATTTATTTTTATATAATATGGACTCATAATTTCTCAGTGGATTCCTGTTTTTATTTAGTGAGATAAAAAATAGTTATCAGTATTTATTTTGATCCTCAAATTGGTGCAGGTTAGGCCAGTGAGAGCCCTTGCAAGTTGGTTTCTGTGTCCTTTAGACATGCACCCACATTCTTTTACCATTTTCTTACTTTCTGGTAGAAGATGATCCAGGCTCATCTTGTACTTTCTCTGTATAAGTCCTGGAATCAGCTCTTTTTTCCAAGAATCCTGAGCTTATTTTAGTTTAAAATGGTATTCAGAAGTTGTCAAAACAAAATAAATCCAGACTTAGGTAAAGAAAGACTTAAAGACTATTGAAATAGGGGAGAGAGAGTATTACAATAGGGAGAACATTCTGAAACTAAGATCTATAAAAGTCTCAAAGGTTGGGAAGAAAGAACTTTTCTTTTTTCTTCTCCTTTTTTTTTTTTTAAGAGGCAGAGTCTCACTCTGTCTCCCAGGCAGGCGTGCAGTGGCATCACTGCAGCCTTAAACTCCTGTGTTCAGACGGCGCTCTAACCCCAAACTCCTGAGTAGCTAAGACTACAGGCATGCTCCACCAGGCCTGGCTAATTTTTTTTTAATTTTGGTAGAAATAGGGTCTTGCTGTGTTGCTCAGGCTGGTCTCAAACTGCTGGGCTCAAGCAAACCTCCTGCCTCAGCCTCCCAAAATGCTGAGATGACAGGGATAAGACACCATATCCTGCCAGGGCTTTTATAGGGAGGAATAAACAAGGCTAGAAATACCCAGGTTGAGCAGGCAGCGTGGCAGTTTCCCGTAGCACAGTGCCATTTCCTGTAACCCAAAGGGTAGAGAGATTTCTTGATGGTTGTGGTTTTCCTGGATCATAGGATTCGGGTAAAGGTCAAAATTGGCATGACCAAGAGCTGGGTCCTATGTATACTCATTAATTTTGGAGTGTTGCTGCTCCCAGGTTTTTTCAATGGACAGAGCTAGAGAGACAGATATGCAGATATAGATTAAAATATAGATAACATGGCTGGGCACAGTGGCTCATGCCCGTAATCCCAGCACTTTGGGAGGCCGAGGTGGGCGGATCACAAGGTCAGGAGATCGAGATCATCCTGGCCAACATGGTGAAACCCTGTTTCTACTAAAAATACGACACTTAGCCAGGCATGGTGGTGCACACCTGTTGTCCCAGCTACTTGGGAGGCTGAAACAGGAGAATTGCTTGAACCCGGGAGGCGGAGGTTGCAGTAAGCCAAGATCATGCCACTGCACTCCAGCCTGGTGACAGAGCAAGACTCCATCTTAAAAGAGATAGATACATACATATATACATATAACTATTTCTGTATTTACCTAAATATATTGAAAACCATAAGATCATATACATACCTCCAATTCTAACTCAACAACACAAGATTCATTCTAATTCTTTTCGTTTCCATATTTGTAAATTCATACTCCTAACAGGGATAAACCTAATTCCCATATATATTCCTTAATATATTACCTTATTTGATCAATGATTCAGCATGTAACCAACTTCCTGTTGCCATCATCACCCCCTCTGATGGTGCCTTCCTCTCTCCACTGAGGACTTGACATGCTGTGCTAGGTTACCCCACTCAGACTCCAACACCCTAAACAGGACCGTTTTCCCACACAGATGGCACTTCTTACCCTGCTTAGGCTCTGATACCCATGTTCCAGGTGTCCCTCACGTGGGTCCCAACCACGTGGGCACCCTTTTACCCTGTTTGTGTTCAGAGCCACTTCTCCCCACTCACCCACATGGATAATGCATACCTTGCTTGGACCACCAAGTTCAGAAATGGAATGAAAAAGGAAGGAACTGTAAAAGGAAGACCAAGACTTAAGCCTCTTTTAATCGTAACAATTTTCACTTAAGCTCCGCAACCCCACATTGTTTATATGTCATTTATTGATGAAAGTGGGTCACTTTTTTTTAGATATCTCACATTCTGGATTAGTTTATTGCATCTTCTTTTTTTTTTAACTTTAGCACTTTTATCCCCTATTTCCATGTCACCTAGCTGGCCCCAGCCACAAGTCTTGCTACTCAGGAGAAACTGCAGCTGTAGCAGCTCCCCTCCTGCCCCACGCCTGCAACAGGGGAGAACACAACTTCAGCACCTACTGCTGAGGTGCTTTCCACAGTTCTGACTGTGAAGGCCGTTAATCCAATCCAGAGCAGGCACTCCAGTCTCTGGCTCC